TTTTTTTTTCGATCGAGCTTCAAGGTCAACTATGATTACTACTTTAGCACGCTTTCAAAAATATTTCTCTTGCAAACTGTTTATCAAATATTTGCATAAAGATCTGCAAAAAATAAATTAAAAAAAAAAAACACGATCTGAAAAGACAAAAATACATCATAAATTTTTGTACTTTACGGGTTTATATAGCCAATTTTATTGCCAACAGTCATAATGCTTTTTTCATAGCAGTTTGTCACCTAAGTTTCTGTTTAAATTATTATGTATATACATTATATACATTATATATATATATATATATATATATATATATATAACATATAATATTCTTTATATAAAATAGGAATAGGAAGACTTTGTACTCTGTCTAAACGTCAAAACTTGGTTCTGATTTTATTTTTGTCTTTTTTTTTGGAGATTATTATTATCGTCATCTTCTGCCGCTGCCTTCCACTGACTATAGTCAGTTAAAGCAGTTTAAAGAAAGGTATGGAAGAATTGCTAAATGATGGCACCAGACGTAAATTTTCTCATTAAATGTATGGTATTCTGTTATTATGCTAAAAAAAATCCCATAAAAAAGGCAAGCAAATAAAGTTTGTTTGAAGAGATTTTTTGCAAAAATTGAACTTTTCCTTCTTTACGGTTTTATTTCTAGTCATTTTTCATAAAGAAAAAAAGAACTTTTTTTGATAAGGGTAAAACCGACGTCAAAAAAATCGTATTTTATTCAACATTTTGTTACTTCAAAAATTTCCTGTTAGTTAGTTTAGTTTTTTTATTTTAAATTGTTTAAAAGAAGTTGTAAATTAGTGGAGTAATGAGAAAAAGTTCATATCTATAAGTTTTAAAGACAGAATTGAAGCAAATTGAAGATATGCTTCAGATTTTTAAGCTTACAAACGGAAAACTGTTACAATAAATCATCAAAACAGAAATCTGCAAAAAAAATAAAAATAAAAAAAAATCTATTTACAGTTTTGTTCCCACCTCTCTTCTTCAAATATTTTTTATTCATTTTTTTCTACTTTATTTTGAATTACATTAATTTTATTATTATTTCTAATAAAAATAATATTATTATTCTTATTTTACATTATCAAGTTTTCTTTTTTTTCTGTAGACAAAGTAAAGAATGAGGGAGAAGGAAATTTGTAATCGATAAAGGCGAAAATTGATAGCAAAATCGTTTATTTTTTCTAAGGAGATGATAAGGGTGGGGAGAGATTTGATTGAGTTAATGACAAATGAAAGATATTGAAAACAGAAAGCT